CTGTTGCTTTTTCTTCTCAGTCATTTTATCTAATTATATATTATTTGATCAAAAAAAGAAAAAATGTATTATAAATGTTGTTTGTTATTTAAACAAAGTTTAAATATTTATTGCTCTATTATTACAATATTGAGCACTTTTTTACGTTCTTGTATTATTTTAATATAATACATAAACAACAATCTTTCTCTTTCTATCTATCTTTCTCTCTCTCTCTCTCTCTCTCTCTCTCTATATATATATATATATATATATATATATATATATATATATATATATATATATATATATATATATATATATATATATATATATATATATATATATATATATATATATATATATATATATATATATATATGTATATATATATATATATAATATATATATATATATATATATATAAATATGTATATATATATATAAATATATATATATACATATATATATATATATATATATATATATATATATATATATATATGTATGTATATATATATATATATATATATATATATATATATATATATATATATATATATATATATATATATATATATATATATATATATATATATATATATATATATATATATATATATATATATATATATATATATATATATATATATATATATATATATATATATATATTAGGGGTGTTCACATAAACACTGGAAATAAAATTTTCTCTCATCTGAATGCACACTATTTTTTTTTGTGCCAATTGGCATTAAAATTTACTGAGCAAAAGATAATTAAAATAAATTAATGTTTAGAGGTTGCTCAATGGCCTTTTAGTTTTACAATAATAGCATTACGCCTTAAATAATTTTCTAATTTTATCCCATGTTCAATTTAGATAAAATATTAAACAAATTTGATGTACCATTGTCTTTTATGAGCTAACTTCTTTGGTCATGTGACAACCTGCCATCTTGTCATCTGATGTTTTTGATTGAAAAACATTCTCATTAATTGTAATTTTTTGCTCAACAATTTAAAAATTTTGAGGTTCTTATTTATTTTAATCAGGATTAAAATAATTTATTTTAATCAGGATTATTTTATAGGACTATAAAGTAATAATTATAGCTGTTATGCCAATATCTTATTTTTAAGTGCTAAATATTATTAGGGCGACTATTTTATTTATATATTATATGAGTTAATATTTAATTTCTCAAGTTAAGTTTAATTTGGTATCATTTTATTTTAGCTTGTTGCTGAAAATGAGTGAAAAGATAAGTTCTTTAAATTTTCCTTCGACACCTAATCAAACTGCAATATGGTTGATTGGTCAACCTGAGAAGAATCTACCGAACAATGTCTTTCCAACGATGTTTGATGTGTTAAGGACGTTTTTCTACTATCACAAAGCATTGAAACAAACAGTTCCAGCCAGTGCAAAAGCAACATCTAATGGTTTAGCTCACATCTGGAAAAAGGCCAGAATTCCAATGACTTACCAGCCTCATATTGTATCAAAAGTGAAAGCATGTGTTGATGAATATAATTTAATTAAAAAGAATAAAGGAAGAGCTAGTAAGTCACAGATTGCTAAAAAGAAAGATTTTAGTATCAAGTTAGATTTACTGTTTGACATTTCACACAAGGATGCAAACAAGCTAATTAAAATTGATGAAGATAAAATATTTGATAAAAAAAATGCTCGTATGATGAAGATGGCTGGAGAAGATGTAAAATTATCTCAACAAGAAAAGAGAACAGCAGAGCCTCAACAAGCAGAAATAAAAAGAAAGAAGAATGAGGAAGAAAGAAGACAACAAGCAAATGCTGTCCTTACCTATAGCTGTAGCCACTTTAGTCTTGATTGTGAAGCAACAGAAGTCAGTGACATTCCTGATGACAATGATGATTATGAAATAGAAATTCCGGTTTATCACTAAAAACTAGTAACCCAACCAACTGACTGTGAACAAAGTCCTAAAAATAAAAAGCCACATATTCTCAATAAAATTTTGTCTTCCTTAGATGTATCTTCCACACTTGATCGAATCAATTTATCTGACCAAATATTCACTATATTGGTAGCTGCAATTGTTAGAGCAAATAGAGAGGACCTCCAAAGTACACCATTATCAAGATCATCAGTCTGCCGCAATCGCATCATGCACCGTTCATCAACTGAAAATCATATTCGCCAGAAATTAATGTCAAGTAAGAAACAACATATGGTCTTCCACTGGGATGGTAAGATAATGAGAGACAGCACTAACTATGAAAATCCAAAGTCCAATGTTGATAGAATTGCGATTGATGTTACTGGTAGTAACCATGAGAAAATACTGGGTATTGTAAAGATATCATCTGGCACTGGACTGGCACAAGCAACCTTCCAGTTACTAGCCATATGGAATGTTGCAAATTATATTGTTGGTATGTGTTTTGACACAACAGCGTCAAACACGGGTTCCAAAAATGGTGCGTGCATCTTGCTAGAGAAGTTGATGGAGAAAAATCTTCTCTACTTTGCTTGCCGTAGCCATATGCATGAAGTAATTATTGGGGAAATATACTCAGTTTTGCTTGAACCCAGCAGTGAGCCCAACATAGCTCTATTTGAACAATTTCAGAAGTGTTGGCTAAACGTAAATCAAGCCAATTATGCTCCATTAGATGACGCCCATCTTGCTGAACCACAGCTTCAGCAATTTAGATCAGAGGCTGGCTCCTTTCTGCAGCCTTTCTTATCAGATGACTCTTCGCACTTACCAAGAGAAGACTACAAAGAGATGATCGAGCTGTGCCTTTTAATTTTGGGTTTTTCCTTATCAGACTATGCCACCAAGAAGTATCGCTTTTGCATGCCGGGAGTTTATCACATGGCTAGATGGATGGCTAAAGTCATCTATTGCATTAAAATATACCTCTTAAGAAATGAATTCAAGCTGACTATGAAAGAACAGAACAATTTGTGGGAATTTTGTATCGTTGCTGCTCATATTTATGTACCAGCATGGATTGCCTGTCCATTTGCAAGTGATGCTCCAGCAAATGAACTGATGCTCTTCACAAGACTTAAACAATATTCTGAGATCATTTAACAATTTAATATTTAACAATATTCAAGGTCATTTCAAATGCTGCTATGAAGAAGCTTCAAAATCCAACTTGATACCTTGGGTCAGAAATGATTTCACTTTAACTATTTTCTGACAGGGTTTGTGACACAGAAAAAAAGTTGATTGTTGAAGCTATGATTCAAAGTGAAGCTGATTGGAGTGTCGGTGGTATTAAGTATTCAGCAGCAGAATTAAACAAGTTGGAAAAGAAGCAACTTCATGAGGTTGTTACATCATCATCAACTGCTGCTTTGCACTCACTTGGTCTCGATGTAACCATTTTATCTGGAACCAATCTAAAGACTTGGGAGGGTATTGCTGAATTTCGTTATACTAAAGCAATTGTTAAATCTGTGAAAGTTATCAATGGCACTGCTGAGCGTTTTGTTACTCTTATGAGCACATTTAATCAATCCATCACAAAAACTGAATCTGAAATGCAGAAACTAATACAAGTTGTTGAGGACAACAGAAAACGCATTCCAGATTGCCGCAAAAGCATCTTGATGACATATGCCAGTTGCTACAGACTAAACTTTTGATCTTGTAAATAGTGCAACATTTTAACGTTATTTGCATTATTTAAGGAATTTTTTGAAAATGATTAATCATTTATCATAGCTATAACTCAAGTTTTTTAAATATTGTTGTTGCGGAGCATGCTTTTAACACAATAAATTTTTATTTTGTTTGAGCAACTTCTAAATATTATCCAAAACACCTAAGATTTTGCACAGAAGTTTTTCTTCATATTATCCAAAACACCTAAGATTTTGCACAGAAGTTTTTTTTTTGGACACCCCTAATATATATATATATATATATATATATATATATATATATATATATATATATATATATATATATATATATATATATATATATATATATATATATATATATATATATATATATATATTACATTTGTGCAATATTGTTAACATTTAGCCAACAAACGAGGCAATTTAATCACAATCCTTACTTTTATTTCTTGTAGTCTGAACACTGTTTTAATAATATTGTGACATTATAACTTATTGTAAAAACTAAAAAGTAGAAAATAAAATATAGTTAAAACATTTGCTAAAAAATATAATCTTTTTTGTACTAAAAAAGCGGATTTTAAATTTAAATTTATTAGTTCAGTAAACTAAAGTTTGACAGGTCTGTTTATAAATAAATCTTGTGCAGACCCGTCAATCTTAAGTTTACTAAACTATTAAATTTAAATTAAAAAAATTTAATAAAAATTTAATAAAAAAAATTATTTTTCGCATTTTAGTAGCAAAAAAGATTATATTTTTTAACAAATGTTTTCGCTATATTTTTTCACTAATTCCAGCTCGAGGCTTGCTGACCATGGAGGTTCTTTGCCTTTCAGGCAAAAGGTCAACCTCCAGGGTCAACAAGCCTATGTTCACTCTGGTTACGCTACTGGTTAAGACTTACGCAACAAGCACTATAATTTTAAATAAGTCAAATAACTTCAGCTTTAAATATAACTGTAGAAATAATAGGAAACAAAAAAAAAAAAATCAAAAAAAAAATCAAATTTATTAGACTAAATCAACATTCTTAGATCAACCGTTTTTCAATAACAAAATTCAATTTTTCATTTTTCAATTACAGTCAAGATCATTTTTATCAACATATATATATATATATATATATATATATATATATATATATATATATATATATATATATATATATATATATATATATATATATATATATATATATATATATATATATATATATATATATATATATATATATATATATATATATATATATATATATATATATATATATATATATATATATATATATGAAACAAATATAATCGACGCAAGCCTAAAAATCATATTACCAGGGTGAAAATATAACAACAACCGTATAAAAGAACACAACTTCATTCATAAAACTATATCTTCTATTGTAACTGTATATAAAAAAACAAAAACTAAACGTAAACAATTTTCTAAAAATTTTCTAATTATCAATTTTATAAATAATCAAAAAGATTTAAGAAAAGTATTTTTTTTTTGAAATTATTAAAAATTCTACAAAAATGTTTTATAACAAACAATTTTAAGCAGTTAAAACTTATTCTATAGTTTAAAGAATGAGAACGATGAAAATATTTACAAAACATTCGTGATTTTTTTGATAACATATAGTATTAGACATAATATTCAACCAAATAACCGCAAAATAAATACTATAAATAAAAACATATTTAACCTCCAAAATTTCAAAAAAAAGTCTCTGAATAAATAAACAAAATATGTTTCTCTATATTTCAGTGTTAACTAGAGACTTTTTATTTAATAAAAAAAAAACATATTACTATCAAAATTTTGGTCGAAAAAATATTAAAATTTGTGATTTATGAAAATTACTTTAAATTTAAAATGTGTAATCTTAAAGTTCATCAATCCCACAAATCCTTAAAAAATTGTCACTAAATAACAGATAACGCATTGTCACTATGTAACAGATAACACATTATCATTAAGTAACAAATTATAGAAAAACAAGTTCCGACACATTTTTTTCGTGTATTTGTTACAAATACAAATATACAGATTTTTGCAAATATAAGCTAATTTTAGCTAAAAAAAAACTTTTACCTCAGAAGTTTTTTTATTGCTTTTTTTCCAGAACAAACTTTAATTATTAATAATTATGTCTTCTACATTAACATTAACTTTACTTTGAACAGAGTAAAATTTAGCATTTAATTTAAAAGAAGAATTTATAAGTGAAATTTTTACCAGAAGTTTTGCAATCTCAGTAACTTGTATTTTCCTAAGTAAAATTTAATTTTGTTATCAAATTCAAAACTGTTAACAAAGTCTAATGAAAATTTTATATTAAAACTACAAAATTAAGAAAATTAGTTATATAACATATTTAATGGTACTTTAATGTTTATGTTGTTGAAAACAAAAAAAAATACTGATAAATTATGACTACTTACTAACTTATTACTTGTTTTGCGGAAGACTATAAATATAAATAGCAACTATTACTAATATTGAACCTGCAACAAACTCCAAGCTCAATACAAAGTTAAATGCATAAATAGATACTATACATGAAACTAAAATGGCGAATGAAGTTGCAAAACCCTTTAATATATTATCTGCATATTTTACTACGACAGCCACTAATAAACCACCAAAAGCCTGCATAAAAATTACAAACCAAACAATTGCAGAGTAACCAAAGAGTAATCCATTTTGCTTTATTTTGGTACCATCATTTGCAATCATTCCAACAGCACCAATTAAAGCACCAAAAATGCCAAGTTGAATGTTTCTTAACCATATAGAGACATTTCCAGATCCTTTTAAAATCTTTTCAAAATATACTCCAGCAAATCCTGAGCACAAACTTGAAACAACCACTGCAGTAAGACCAACAATAGGATTTTGTGAGGTAAGGGAATTATTAACTTGATTTGGTTGAAACTGTACTAGCGCTACTCCAACAAATAACAAAAATAATGAAAACCATTGACCTTTTGTTAAAGATTTATTTAACATAAGAACTGAAAATAAAGCTGTGGTCAAAATCTTTAGTTGGTATGTTACTTGAAATGTAGCAGCATCAAGATTTGATATAGCAATAAATTGCAAATTGTTTTGCAAAACATAAATAAATGAAGGTATCGCAACTTTAAAAGTTGATAACGGATCTGCAATTATATTGTTGTATAGGTATCTCATCCAAGAGGCAAAACTTTTGACCTCTGTAAAAGTTAACACCAAACAAGCCAACAGTTTAAGAATCTATAATAAATCCAATTTACATATATATATATATATATATATATATATATATATATATATATATATATATATATATATATATATATATATATATATATATATATATATATATATATATATATATATATATATATATATAAGTATATACATACATACATATACATACATACACACATATTGATATATATATACATATATATATATACATATATATATATATATATACATATATATACATATATATATACATATATATATATACATATATATATATATATATATATATATATATATGCATATTTATATATATATATATACATATATATATGCATATATATAT